TGTGGGATCCCTGCTGGACATTCGAGGTAGGGCGACATAATGCCACCAACACTCACAGATTGTTTTCTGTTGGATAGATTGGACTGAAACAAATCTATGGCATCTTCAGCAAAGTTGAAGTGAGTCAGTTTGGACAGAAGTGCTTGATGGTCTACAGCATCAAACGCCTTCTTGAGATCCAAAAAGACTGCACCAACACAGGTAGTTTTTTTTTAGATTAAATGGTTCAAACTTATACTAAATAGAATGCTAAATAAAATGCTTAAAATGCTGAATTAATTATATTAAAGCTTGTATTCTATGACTAATGCTGCTAGGCTAAATGCACATTTTCCACTTCGATGTGAGGCAATCCACTGTGAGGATTATTATGAMATTTGCACATTAAAAGACATCATTAATGCAAATAGACAAAATGTAGCTGAGGACATTTATTTACAATTTTTAGACAATGTATGAACATTTTTAAGACATCCACACTAAAGACATAATTTAAAAATCACATGTTATAATGCTAGCAAATTGATCAGTGAGATTTCTTGTACAACAAAACGTAATTCATGATTTGTCTAAAAAGTTATAGTGTGACAGGGCCTTAACATATTATACTAAAAAGTTAAAACGACAAAACAACAAAAATATCTGGATATGATGGCAGATAAGTCCAAAATTACAGATTCAGGTAAAAACTGAAACCAACAGAAATATACTGTATATATATATATATATATATAATTACCAGTCCATTTATTTTACACATATTGCATTTCATCTAACAACTTAACTTAAACTACTTGCAGTGCAGGAATGTGTCTTCAACATGTGAGCTCAATGTTTGTTATTTTTAAAAGCAACAAGCCTAATAAATCTGTTTTGAACTTTGGTCAATTTGAACCCATAAATGAGTGGATTCATGATGAGAGGAATGACGAACAATTCTATTGAAATAAAGTTTTTAAGAGCTTTGGGTATGTTTTCGGAAACAAATCTTATAAATACAACATCGATCAGTGAGGTTATTATAAAAGTGAATAAGGAAACTAAATGTGGAACACTGGTTTGCATGAACTTTGCCCTGTTTTCTATGGAGTTGGCACAATTTTTAACAATATATATGTATGACCAAAAAATAAAGGCACCATGAATTACATAAATTGTTAATATAAAGTTTGAAAATATCCCATTAATAAAAGTTTCATTTGGATAACAAGCCAGAGCTACGATGCTCCAGTTCACACAGAGGAGCCTGTTTATATATGAGCTGCATAAATTCAACCTGGCTATCAGAAGAGTATTCACAGTAATAATGCAACAAGGTGTTAACCAAAACAAACACACTAACTTAATGACCCTGTGCTTTGACATGACAGAGTGGTACTGAAAYGGTCGACAAATAGCCAGATATCAGTATTTCAGGTTCAACCGGTGTGATCAATATGACACTTGAGATATCTTTAAAAAGGAAAAGTCAAGTTACAAATGTAATAATTATTTTCTTATTTTTTTATACAATTAAGCAGAAAAGATTAAAACAAACTAGACGTGTCATCTTGACTCTGGGACAGAGCTGCCCAAAGTGGGGCCCACGGGCCAAAATTGGCCCACCAGCAGTTGTCCTGGTTATTAGATTGTAATCTCCTGTCTTATGTAGAAACATTATATTTCCACTTTTCAACAATTGGTCCAACTACAGGTACAAAGTGCTGAAGTCAGATGTCTTAACTCAWGGTACTCACTTTATCTCTGAATTCTGTTAAGATTAAACATATTACAAGTAACTACAAAAGACATTTATATTAGATTTAAGCTCACTTCTAGATTTGCACACCTTATAAGACCACCTATACTCAAATTTTGATTTATGAAAAGTCTCATGAGCCTTTGCTGCCCAAGCATATGTGGAATTTTCTCCTTGTCCATGGGCTGAAAAACAAAGAATGTGGGCACTTGCACTGGCTGCTAGCTTATTCATAAAAAATAAAACAACTTTACTTAAGAAGTATTTGCATTTCATGTGTTATATTACTGCATTTTGCCCGCGGCCCTCAGATTGATTTTGATTTTGGCCCCCTCAGGGAAAATGTTTGTGCACCCCTGCTCTAGCAGAACAACGTTAAAGGTTTGACGCCTTTTTTTTTCAAACAAGAATTGTTTTGAAAAAGWTTTTTTATTTGTATTTTTTATTTGTGTAGATTATATAAGGCAACAAAAACATCTGGATATAATGGCAGTTAATTTTGTTCTCATTTT